GGATCTTAGGAAGCAAAGTAGATTCAGTTGGGAACCTCTACTGAAGCTTTAGTTCCTACATAGAATATATGTATTTTATAGAAATATTTAAAAAAATTAATAAATAACGAAATAGAAACGTCAAATAGCATACAAAATTTACATTTTATTTGTTGCATATATTTCAGACATCATCAGGATCAAAGTAAGAATAAATTATATCATTAGAATTAAACTTTACTATCTTAGCTCCTACTGCGGTATAGAATTCAAGGTTCAACATAGAATCAAAATTTCGACTCAGAAATGAGTGTCAATATCGTCAAAATAGGTTTCACCTAGGTTATAAATTATCTAATAGGTTGATAATTATCTAATTATCTAGGTTGATAATTATCTAAATTATCTAAGTAGGTTCAAATTATTTTTAAGAGCGTCAAAGTATTCGTTGTTAAATTTGGTGACTATTACAAATTTATGTGGTACATATTATCAAATAATCTGTAAAATAGAACCATATTGTTTAGTAATATTTATCACATATGTAATAAAAATATACGAAATATGATCAAAAATACTTCAGTAATAGTAAAACAATTTCGTTATTATTACCGAATTATTTAGTATTTTTTTATCCATCTATTTATTATTTATTTAATATTTATTTATCAATTTATTGTCACAAGTGAATAAAGAATAGGTTTTATTAATTATTTTGCAATTATTGTAAGACGGTTAGTAAATTGCCGTATTTGATACTAATTACCAAACTTTATACTGAATTGCTCAACCGAATATATTTATCAACTAGTTACAACTCTGTTATTCTGCCCGAGTCGAAATTTTGACCCTATGTTGAACCTTGAATTCTACATCGCAATAGGAGCTAAGATAGCAAAGTAGCTTTAATTCTAATGATATAATTTACTCCTACTTTGACCCTGATGATGTCTGAAATTTCCGCCTTTGCTTTCTTTAACGTCAAAGTAGGTTGTATAATAATAGGATTTTATGAAGTAGATTCAGTCGCGAACCTCTATTGAAGCTTTAGCTCCTACATGAAAGTATGTATTTTATAGAATTCAAGGTTCAACATAGGATCAAAATTTCGACTCGGAAATGAGTATTAATATCGTCAAAATAAGTTTCATCTAGGTTGTAAATTATCTAAGTAGGTTCAAACTATTTTTAAGAGCGTCAAAGTAGCGTCAAAATTTTGACAAGGTAGAGTTAAAGGTTCAAAAGAAAAGTTAATGAGTATCAATATCGTCAAAGTAGGTTTTACCTAGGCTATAAAACGTCTAAGTAAGCGTAAACTATTTTTAACCCTTTCGCACCCATCGTTATTTTGAAGCAATACATACTTCGAATCGATCCAAACGCCAAACGAATCGATATTTTTCGCCAACAACTGTCAAACATTGTTGGCAATTCCGCCTCTCACGATTCTAGACAGAATTTTAATCTTATCACTTAATTATAGTAATAAAAACTAATAAGTCAGCATTTGTCGTCTCTACTTCAACGCTGGCCGTTCCATAAATAATCGCAATTTGCCAATATTGAATTTACTTATTTTAAAAATGAACTATACAAAATATTCTCGTGCATTATTGCGATGTATGAAAAGTAGAAAATTATGCAAAGTATAGTTTGCACTGCGGCAAAAATAATGCGGCATATCAAAGAGTTGTTTCTCTGAAACAACATTCTCTAAAATGGTTTATTGCAAAATTATGAAAAAAAATTAGCTATCATCTTTACATTACTAGGAACAATAATGAGTAGAGAAAAAATTGTTCTTGCGAATAGAATTAATTCTGGGTTGAAAGGATTAAGAACGTCAAAGTAGCATCAAGATTTCGACTCGGGAACATCCGCGCGATATGGTCGCCGCAATATATTTGCTCTAGAGTTCCATATATCGCACATACTGAAAACCAAAGGTGGGATTTCGAGGACGAAGCCGCGTGGATAAATATATGACTACTGACATGCATATAGAAAGAAGTCACGCTTCTCGAAGTCCCATCCCTGACTGAAACTCTAAACACATGGGTGTAAAACTTACCCGGATCATCTTGTTAAACGTTATCGTTCTCAAAAACACGTGCTTTGCTTTTTCATTGTAATTTGAATCGTAAAAACAAGAAGGCTCTTGATGCTGCGGAATCTTGGATTAATGACGTCACACACGCGAGAAAACGCAAGCCAAAAATTCTTGCGCATTATTTTCAAATAACAAACATATTTGCATGGAAGAATATTTCAGATCGCTTGGGAATACTTGTAAAATATTCCGAGAACTATTTTTTTCCGTTGACACAGTCAATAAATAACATTTAAAGTTAACATTGACATAACTCTCCTCTTTAACCTATCTTTCCTCGTGATTTTGCCACGTTAATTTTAAGTCTGTTTATCGACTGTCAAAAGAAAAGGGTAGCTCTCGGAGCATTTTGCAAATATGCTCAAGCGATCTGACGTGTTATTTCATACAAACATCTTTTTATTTGAAAATGGTACGCAAGAATTTTTCTCATGTTCTCGCTTCCGGGACTCGATTCTTGACAGTGTGCGAATGAGATACGCATGCGAAAATCTACAGTATACGTAACGTGAATTATACATTTTTCGCATGCGTATCTCATTCACATACCGTTAAGAATCGAGCCCCTGATGTCATCAACCCAGTGTTCCGCAGCAGCGGGATTGAGATTTCGCTATACTTTTGACTGAACCACTACAGTTGTAAGTATAGCACACATCTCAATGAAGAATACACTGATTGTGCTTTAGAAAATGCATATCGCAGAACCACAGAACCCGTTTAAGCGATTAAACGTTTAGTTATATCGAAACGGTTCCCATTAGGTGTTTCTAAGTGGATATACGCTAAATGTTTAAACGTATATTCGACAAAACGGATCGAAGCAGCCTGATTTGCTCGCGTCTCTCGTGATATATCTCGGCGAGAGAGAGAGAGAGAAAGAGAGAGAGAAAGAGAGTTCCTCGGTGGTGATTCTGTGAACGTCTCGTAGCTCAAAGCCTTAAGGAGAAACGACGAGACGCAATAAAGTTAAGGAGGAAAAGGGAAAAATGAACGCAGCCAAGCCGGAGCGCGGCTAAACGAGAACGGGGCTGAGGGGAGAACGAACGAACGAACGAATAAACGAACGAACGAACGAATGGACGAGCGGGTGGATCGGGCGAGGAGGCGGAAAGTCAATATTGCGCGCGATGGGATACGTCGAAATTATTGCTGTATTAAAATTTATCGGATATTGGAGGCGCGTACGGGTAAACTTACTTCATCGTGCGCACGTCGTTTTATGGCTTTCCGATATCCGACGCACCCACGAAAAAGCGCGGATCGTGCCAGGACCCCGGCGATAGGGTGCAGTGAGCGAACGATAACGAACGCGTGAGGCTTCGCCGTTCGCTCGAAATTCAAACCGAATCGCCGCGTGTGACCCGAATGACGTCGTGCAATCCCGTAAAATAAATGAAGCGGCCAAAACGCAGGGAGACTTCAATCGTCCGTGTTTTGAATTCGCCAAAACTTGGCATTGTTCTTTTTGATACATCGCACCTTTTTTTATCTTGTTTTCTATTATATATTAATTCGCCTTCTAAATTTTGTATTGTGTGAATTCCTAATGAATTTGACTTTTCTCGTAAAAAGGGAGAAATCTACACACTAAGAAAGAAATACTTGAACATTTGTTCGTGGAATATGAAATTCATTTTGCAGAAATGAATTTTTATTTCACAAATAAACTTCCAAATATTTTTTCTCAGTTTTAAAGAGATTTTTGCCATGAACGTACGCAGAGAAAAAATACTTGAACATGTATTTGTACGAAGGACGTTTCACAAAAATGAATTTCTATCTCAAATAAATTTTCAAATATTTTTTTCTCGGCGTAGAGGGATTTTTGCCATGAGCGTACGCAGAGGGAAAGATATTTGAACATTTATTTGCAGAATATGAAGTTTATTTCACAGAAATGAATTTCTATCTCACAAATAAATTTTTAAGTATTTTTTTTTCAGAGGGATTTTTGCCATAAACGTACGCACAGAAAAAATATTTAAACATTTATTTGCAGGATATGAAGTTTATTTCACAGAAATGAATTTCTATCTCACAAATAAATTTTCAAGTATTTTTCTCAGCGTAGAGAGATTTTTGTCGATAAACGTACGCAGAGAAAAAAATATTCTTTACAGAATATTTATTTACAGAATATGAAGTTCATTTCACAGAAATTCATTTTTAATTCACAAATAAATTTCCAAATATTTTTCTCAGTGTAGAGGAATTTTTGTCATAAGCGTACGCAGAAAAAAGATATTTCAAAATTTACTTGTGAAATATAAAGATCATAGAAATTTGCAAGTATATTCACAGAACTTTATTTCACGGGAAACTTTATATCCTACAAATAAATGTTCAAGTATTTTTTTTTATGTAAGATATAAATTAGAAAGATCAACGAAAGTGGTCGAATATGATAGTAAAATTGTGCATTGCTGATAGCACAGACGAGTTTTATACATGCAAATTGAAAAAGTGAGTATCCTTATGTAAGTAAACTTGATAAATAGCGAAAATAGGTGCGACAGGAAACGTTTGTGTTATTTGCATCGACTACACCTGCTTCGGGCGCGCTCGCTTTCGAGTGCCAGGCAACGTGGGGAATGTCACTCAAGCTCCCGATAATCAAGAATATCCTGAGAATATTCCTACCAGCGTTCCACTCGAATTGCAAATTCGAGAGAAGTTAACTCGCGCGCCTGTTTTGCCAGGCGATCGTTGTTGCATTGACAGGCTCGATTTCGAAATATTCTCACGGACGTAACGCAACGGACAGAATAATCGGCGAAGAGAAGCTTTCGTTGAGCTTTCCTTCCCTCGGCGAAGTGCACCGGTATACATGCTAACCGAAATGCTCTTCGAATTTAAAGGGGAAAAGAAGCGTGACGTTCCAAGATAAAAGTTAGAAGCGCGAGCTTACCTAAATGCCCGGCACATATTTCTCGGCGTCTCGCAGGAAACTCGAACAACGCGCACAATTTGATTTTGAGCTCTGTGAGGGGCGTATGAGTTCGTGGTACGTTGGTTACACTAGATCGACGTAAACTCGGTGCAAACCAAACGGACGCGCGACGACGACTGACTCCCACTGACTCCGGGCAACGCGAGCGCGAGTTAGAGTGGCACGAAGTGTGTCGGTGACCACCGAAGGCGGCCGAAGTTTCGTTTGAAAAGCCCGATTGTCGTGGCCCGCGAGCCTTTTATCCATCATTTTTGCTCGGTTGTTACGGATCGCCGGCCGTTTCAAAAATCTTAAGAAAATAACGGATCCGCAATAAGGGGTTATCCTTTTCTCATCGCACACAGCTTTCCGATCAAGGTTTTGCTTTAGATAGCCGAGAAAGTAGGAGATCCTCGCGATTTTGTTTTTTCAAAAAGATAACTAAAGATTTGTCCAAATCTTTGTTATATCGAAATTTAATAAATCGGTGATACTTTGAAGTTACGTCATTTTCCGCTCTCTCTTTCTTCTTTGTTTGGTGTTCCGGGAAAAAGAACTTTGGAAATTTTCCGAAGGATTTAGATTCATCCTCCAGCAAACTTAATATGGTTTTTACTGTTCCTTGTCTTATTTTTACATTTAAAATAATGATAAATTGTTAAAATTTTACATATTGATATCTTTATTCATTTCTTTGGAAAAGAATCGTGAAAACTTCCCATTTTTAAACCAGAACTTTTCCTTAAAATGTTTTTTATCAAGTATTCTTATCACACATTTATACACTCGCAGATATACGAAGATACAGTAACCCCTACAGCACAAATTTTTAAAAGACATTCTAAAAACATTCTAAGAACATTTATACATCCTAAGAACATTCTCTAAGAACGTTCTAGAATATTCTCTGAAGATTTTGTGCTATCTGGAAAATAGTCTTAGATTTTTATAGACAGTTCCAGGATGATTTTCACATCAAACGATTCTAAATGTGCAAAAAGTTCATGCAAAAATTTCGAACTTCCTATTCCGAATTTGACGCATTAGTATTATTCTATGTAAATGCAATTAAATCTCACATACAGAAAAATATATTCTTAGATTTTTATAAACAAGTTGAAGATAACATTTTTGCATTGAACGATTTCAAATAATTTCAACCAGGAATTTCTAGTTTCCTACTTCGAATTCAATACACTCGAGACTCATTGGGGTACTACACATAAATGCGATTAACTCTGACAGTGACATGCGAGGCGTCTAAGGTCTGTGGGTTAGGTTTGTGATATAATTTGATTTATAAGATCGCTCTTAAAAGTTTGATTTAATCAAAGAAAACTAATAGCTTAAAAGCAATTTTACAAAATAAAATTTTAACATTGAAATAAAGATTTTCGTTGCAAAAGAGAAACTTTTTTCCTTTTGTTTTCTTCTATCTATAAAATTATAAACTTATTCTGAAAGCTAGAAAAAAGTTAAACATTTTTTAATAAATCAACATTTATTTTTTATAAATTTAAGGTTTCAAATTTAGTAGGTCTCAAAAGGCGTATGACATATAATAAACAGTGAAGTATCCTTGCAGAGTTAATGCATACACTCGCGCGTTTGCGAAACTGCTTAAACATGTTTCTTTTGACACTTCAGAACACAATTGACGTTCAATAGAGAATTTGATATTAATTCTCATAGAACAGATTCCTTAATTGAATGTCAAATGTTATTCAAAAAATATAAAAAAAATGCTCAAACTGCTTCGCAAACGAATGCACACAGAAAATATTCTAAAATATCTATGAATAGTTTTAAGAAAATATATTTTTGTATTAAGAAATATTTTCCTTTTCTTTCCGTTGACATAGTCAATAAATAATCTTAAAATTAACATTGATACTTATGCCTTCTCTTTAACCTATCTTTATGATTTTGCCATGTTAATTTTAAGGTCGTTTATCGACTGTCGAGGAAAAGGGATAGTTTTAGGAGTATTTTACAAGTATTCCCAAATAATCTTAAGTGTTTTATCATACAAATATGTTTGTTATTTGAAAATGGCGCGCAAGAATTTTTGGCAAGCGTTTTCTTGCTTCTAATTATTCCAGGATTCCGCAGTAGTGGAATCAGGAGCGTTAAGGTTTCTTGTGTCTTGTCGGCCATGTCGGATTTGTAACGTCAGAAGCGAGAAATGTCATATGCTAACGAAAATTGCTTGCAATTTCTGAATAAAGATAGATATGGACGAAAGAACATTTAGGTTTGCTTGAGCACACTTGTAAAATTGTCCAAATCCCTTTTCCCTGATGACCAATAAATAGTTGTATAAGTAAATGATGTAAATAAAATAAATATATAGTGAAATAAAGCATGTGAAACGCGCACGCACGATTAAATGAGTCTGCTTTATCTGCAGCGTTAAAGTAAACATTGAGAGAAATCATTCGATAAAAAATTAACAAACGAATATTTCCGATCAAAATACCGATGGATTTTTATATCCGATCAAGAAACATTTGACGAGAAATATGGATTCATAATTTTTTGATCGGTTTATCTGAAGAAATGCCATTATGATCGGAACTTCGATAAAATTTAATCGAATATAAAAATTGATTGGAATTTGATCGGAAATATCCGTTTGTTAATTTTTTATCGGATAATTACTCTCAGTATACACTGAGAGAAAAATTATCTAAAAATCAACAAATTTTTTTTTATGGATGCCATTAACATATTTATTTAAATCTAAATTCTTTTTATTTAAACCAAATATTGTTTACTTAAATCAGGTAAACGATATTTGATTTAAATAAAGAGAATTTATATTCAAGTAAATATATTAATAGCACCCATCAAAGAAATATTTGTTGATTTTTAGATAATTTTTCTCTCAGTGTAGTTGTTACGCAAAATACACAATTGAACAACGCTGACGAAGCGCAACGCTGTTTGTTTAAGCGATTAACGCTTATTACCAGTACTCTATTTAAGTGCTCTTAACTCAGCCGGCAAGCTTGGCAAATTTAATCGATCCAGATTATAGCGCGAGACAAGCACCGAATAAACCTCGCGGAAGAAGGTGGGACGACTTTTCCTCTACCAGCCGATCGTAAATCAAGCGATCGCGGTTCTAATCAACGTGTACTCGATATCGTACTCCTCTCGATGCTCTCCGCTGCTGTTGCTGTTGCCGCTAATGCTGATGTTACTACCGTTGCCGCTGCCACCGCCGCCGCCGCCGTGCAAAAAGGCCTTCGACCGAGAAATTCCACGATGATCAAAGGGAACTCTCCTCTGCCTCGGGAAACTACGCAACTCCCGGCGTTTCGCAAAGGGTCAATCGCGCCGATTGCTTAATCACTTTCCGTAACCCCATCGGACGTATAACTTTAACCCGGCCGCGATACCGATCGTCGCGCAACTTCCAGCCGTATAATTAAAACTTATCGACTATACGAGAAATACGCCGCGCGGCGCAGGAGACGTCGGGGGAAGACGTCTTTCGTCGCCGAACACGCCCTTTGTGTGTAAATTATGTTTTTCTCGTGCTCCTCTGCGAGGAGTGTCCGGAGGAGAACGAGGAGACGACGGCGACGGGAAGGAGGAGGACAACCCCTTAATTCGATAATGTAAAGACGTTACTTTGCGACGACGATACGACGTAAAATTCGTCCTGTATCTCCTTTCCCCCTCGGTTTTCAGGCGAGATAAGTGCAGCGCGTGCAGCCGTGTTAGAAATATTAGCCTTGGAATCGTGGTCCGAGTTTTGTTTATGATACTGGCCCGCGATATTGTGGTTAATACGCGAACGCGTTAATTAGCGTCTCTACATTAGCGTGTTTATATCCTTCAGTCTCTTTTGGACTTCGATGCTGCTCTGTCAAACTGATCTGTCAAACGATCGATAAACAAAGCAAGAACGAGGCTCGCGAAACGAGGAGAATGACTGCGTTCAGCAGAGAAAGCTGCTTCGCAACTGTTGTCAACTTGATGAAACTGATTGGTATGTATGTACATGCTTTTAGGTTCAAACACGATCAAGAACATACACCAATCAGATTTACGAACGTTTCAACAGTTGCAAAGCAGCTTTCTATGTTAATCGCGGACAAGCAGCTAAATTGCTTCAGTGATTTCTGTATCAAATCATTCTAACGAGACATTTTTCGAGATCTGCCGAAATTTTTAAGTGACTCCGACGTGTCGAATATTTATCGAAATTATTTCATTTATTGGCGAGATGTTGAAGCGAAACAAGATTGAATCCAGCACGAAAGTGCTCATAAATCATCGTGATAAAAAACACGTCAAGTCGGATAGCCTATCCTCGTCTACATCACACGTCAACAGATACGCTCAGTGAGTACAGTGAGAGGAAAAATACTTAAGATATAAAACAATATTTATTTGGTGGGCATTATATATAATAATATATGTTTATTTATAAAAAAATATTTTTTGGATGAAAAAATATGCATTCTCTTAAGAATGCGACTTTAAGAAAATCTTAGCTTTTCATGAAAACAATTGTTTATTCTATAGAAGAATTTAGATTTAACTAAATATGTTATTAATATCCACAAAAATATTAATACATTGAAAGAATAAAATCTGAAGAAATAATCTGAAAGAATAAAAATAAGAAATATTTACTCGACGGATATACTAATAACATATTTATTTATCCTAATAACTAATAACATATTTATATTATGAGTATTTAAGAAAAAATTCTTAAATATTTGAGAAAGAAGAATTGAGGGAACATTTTTGAGAAAAAATTTATTTTAAACGAAAAAAATATTTTAAATGTAAAAAATACATTTTTCTAAAACACTGTTGATTTTCATGAAAATTGTTTATTCTACTTAAGCAAAATATTGGATTTAAGTAAATATGTTATTAATTCCCACCAAATATAAATATCTTTTTTGTTTTAGATATTTTTTCTCTCAGTGTAATATTAATTAAATAATATTTACCACGACACTTTATTTGATTTCATTTGATGGATAACTTATTTCTCTAATTCATTTTTCTCATGTTCCATCAGAAGATTGAGATGCGTGTCCTCGAGAGTTTCGTCAGCAGCAGCAACAGCAGCCAAAAAGTGCAAATCGCACACGACAGCTGAACAGCCGGGAAATATCGCGGAAACTACACAGAAACATGTGGCGGTACATTTCGGAAATTTTTATGGTCTTCGGGATAATATCAAGGAGACGCATCGCGATAATCGTTGGAGTAATACCCTCGGAGCAAAAGAAATTACGGCGACTGAATGGAAACGTCGATCGGAATTCACCAGACAGATGGTGCACAAGTAAAGCAAATTTCGCCCCACTGTAAAAGCAGAGATAAAAAGTCCTCGAGAATTTCTCGTGCAAAGTTTCCCAGCGACATGTTCTTTTCCCTTGAAAGGCTGGAGCGAGCGAGTGACACGGAAGATTACGCGCGACAAGTGTCGACCCTCCTAAAGGAGACGGTAGAGCCACCAAACTTCAGACTAAACCCATTCCTGTCTGAAAACTCAATTCCCAGTGGAGGCCGAAGGATCTCGGATTACCCACTCTGGTACAAGGAGCCTCATGAGATACCGTTAGTGTTCTCAAATCCTATCGCTCAGCTTGACGCATGACCCTCGAGACGAGATACATTAACGGAAGGTAGGATAACGTATCGTAATAAAATATTTAAGAATAATGAGAAATTAATAATGAAGAGAATGAGAGAGAATTATAGATGTAGAGAGAGAGAATGAGAGAGATTTATAGATGTAGAGAGAGAGAGAGAGAAAGAGAGAGAGATAACAAAAAATTAATAAAAGATTAATCTACTACCGTGATTTAATACATATTTAATATAATATAATAATATAATAAATTTAATTTTTAATTACCGTTTTAATTTAATTGGATTATTCGCCATTGAAAATTCGCCACTGATTTTTTCTTCATTATTCTGCCTTTCATTTCCTTCCCGCCCCCGTCTTTATTTCTCTCACTATTCCTACTATATTATCACGATAAATAAATGTAAATATAATAAACAAATTGAGTTACACCAGTCGATACATTGTTACTATTATTTCGTTACTTTACAACAGTGTCACTGGCATTATTTCGGATTATTTTGAGATAGATCAACGTAAATAGAGGATAGTAAATAGTAAATATAACAGTAGTAGTAAATAGTAAAATAAATAAACAATAAATGAATGTGTTCGTTATTCGATGTATTACCATTGCCATTTCAATGCCTCATAGCAATTATCCGCGATATTTTCGGCCATTATTTATACACGCACTTTTATACGCGTTTAAATGAAAAGTCAAGGCGCACAATGGGGTCAAATGAAATTTTAAGTTTCAAACAAGGCTATACAACTTTGACATTTGACGATTTCGATACATTTTTCTCTTTTTTTATTGAAAGCTAATAGAATTTATAACAACTTTTTATCCTTTACTTCTTTCCTTCTAAATCAGTCACATAAAGTTCAATTTAGAATTTTTTTCAATAAAAAAACAGATAATAGATAATAATTAAAAACGTTAATTAATAGTAACAATTTAATTTAATCTTTTTAATTCAGTAGTTTTTATTGAATAAAATTAGTTAGTATTTCAATTAATTTGCCTCTATCTGTACTATGCTTTTACGGAAGCTTCGAAAGTTATTCTAGAACAGTCTATATATATAGAAATTTTTTTTCAATCAAACAATTCCGATAGATGCAAAAGCTCAATATTTAATACTTCATGAACAATAATTAATAAGAAAATTAATAGTAACAATTTAATTTAATTTTTTTAATTCAGTAGTTTTTAGTGAATAAAATTAGTATTTCAATTAATTTCGTTAAGTTAAGGTAAGATTTAATGAGAATATATCAAAATCTATGATTTTTTTCAAGCCTATAATCAGAATTTGAATATTTAATTTCAATATATGTTATCTGATGTTAAATTAAATAAGAAACTCACTTCATGTCTTATTTAACATCAGATAACATATATTGAAATTAAATATTCAAATTCTGATTATAGGCTTGAAAAAAATCATATAGATTTTGATACATTCTCATTAAATCTTACCTTAACTTAACGAAATTAATTGAAATACTAATTTTATTCACTACTGAATTAAAAACTACTGAATTAAAAAAATTAAATTAAATTGTTACTATTAATTAATTATTATTTAATTATTAATCAAAGAAAATTGGTGGGTGGTTACTTACATTAATATATTAATGTTATCTAATTAATAATTAAAAATCTACAAAGTTATTAGAGAAAAGGTAGGGGACTTTTTTGTTCAGTTTGACCTAATGTACATTGAAAAAAAGGTTTGATTGAATTAACCAAATATCTGGTCAAATATGAACGATCCAGTAATTCCGATTGAAGTAATCCGAATTCTATTTAAGTTAACAAGATTTTTGGTTGACTTAAACAGAATTCGGGTTACTTCAATCGGAATTCGACCAGATATTTTGTTAATTTAACCAAACCTTTTTTTCCGTGTAACACAGATATCGCCACTACAGCTCATTTACCATATCTGGCGTGATCATTCACAAATTTTCTTCAATCAATATCTTGATAATTATTGCGAATCGCAAAACGGTATAAAACTTTTATGTTTACCTTAATCCATACTATTTGTATGAAAACTTCGGAAGTTGTTTTGTGACACTATATATAAATCTAAATTCCTTAAGAATTTAATTTAAGATAAGGGAAGTGCAAAAGACGAAAATCTGGCTCGACAAGATTGTTTTAAACTTCATTAGCTTCTATATTTAAAAAATGGCATCAAAATCGGTTCAAATTTTTAGACTGTAGCCTCTTTTGAAACATAAATTTCGTTTGGCTTTACTGTTTGACGTGAAGATGCGACAAGTCGTGATTAAAATGAATAATTAACGATGGTACTTTACCAATCGATGCGTCGCGTCAATGCTGCTTCCCAGCGCACAATCTCTCACAATACTTTCGGCCGTTGTTCGTTCGCGCACTTTCACATATTCGAGCACCTTCGCTGAAACAAATCAATAATTTGAAATAAGCTATAATAAACTACACGCATTAATTCATCACGATCGTTTGTTGAAACATTGTGATCAAACGCGATAGCAATGGTGGAAAATTCAAAGAAAAGAGATTACGCGGTAGAACGAAATCCGCCGTCGATTTCATTTGCACAATATGCTGATTAGTTCACGCGTCGCATGAAGTGTATGTGATTCAAGCAAACGCAAATCTGAATCAAGGATTTATATTTTTTAGGAGGAGGTATACTTTTACTTACTGCCGACATCGGAGATATCACGATAACGATAACATGAAGTTGCTCTTGACATGTCTTTCATGCCGAAAATGGAACTTCCTGAAGTCATAATCTTTATAATCTTTAAGATGTACTCGCAAGTGGAGAGTACGGGAAAACGACTTACCGATCAACGTGAACTGGCTGCTCCATTGTTCCGGAACGGCACTCCGAATGACGATGCATCTCAGCGCTCTATGTCACTTGGAATCGATGCACTTGACACGACTATGAATAACGCGATATTAACAATTGTCGCGATGTAATTCTCGCAATACTATGTATAGGGTCGCGATCATAGACATAATGGTTGCTTTCCAACAAGAGACACAAGTCGACACAAACATCATTCTATCTTTGTTCCACATTTAGTGAGTAACAAAGAAAGGATGATACTTGTGTCGACTTATGTCTCTTGTTGGAAAGCAACCAATATATCTAGATCGAGCATTGAGGAGTGAGAGTAAGAGGCACGTAGAAAAGGATGCATTGCGCTTTGAGTCTCTCATTCGCGCATCTCTGTAACACAACCTTTCTTAAGGCCAAATCACACTAACGATCAGGGATGGGTAATATGCGCGGCAGGAAAGTATTATGCACAATTCTGTGCATAATATGCATAAAATGTCTATTATGC